TCCCCAACATTCTGTGATTCTGTGATTACCTATCTTTAATACCAACATAATCTTTTAAATTGTTTGCACGTTGTTTGTTCATGTTGTGCATATGGCACTATGACAACATTAATGTCATAACTGGGCCATGGGTGGGTTCTATTTCTTATCACAACTGTGAGTCAGGGCCAGGACATGAGCATTCAAAAGGGGCTTCAGGAATATGGTGAGCATTTGTTAAGGAAACGTTTGTTAAACAGTTTATCTGAGCTATTGGACAGCAAATATGTTCAGTAAAATAGATTTACTGGGTTAAATCAATACTGGATTGAGGAGAAGCCAGAAGATCACACAGGATCAGGAAATGGAAGCTGAAATAATAAACTAAACACAATAAGGAAATGCAGGATTTATATGACTTATTTGGATAGTTATTCGATTCAATATCATTACCCTGGGGCAAGATACAGAAATATTGGAAATACACCACAGTTCACCTGAGAGAAATTCTGGGATTTCAAAAGGAACACCCAGAGATTTACCTAAAGAACCTCCCATCATGGGAAGGGAATTAAGGCCTCTTCATAGCGTACACAAAAGACTGAATAATCTGTCCATAGCAGGAATTTCTTTGACCTTTGTAGGCTGTGACTTCTTTCAGATGGCCTAACCCATCATGAGGCAACCCCACTGCAGCTCTGTGTTCCATGCTGACCTGCTTATGCAGGCCCTCCTCTTCTAAACTGCTGCTCTCTTGTATTCTTCAGCTTACTGAATGTGGCTGTCTTCAGAGTGGCAAGAAGTAAGGGAGATGCTAATGCTCTGTAAGATTGGTTTCTTTGGTGGATGTTGGATAGCTCCTAGGCCTTCTTCTGCAGAGATTCCCTGCTAGGTGAAGACTTATGCCTTGTTGGGTAGCACCATAGCTGGCAATATTGATAGATTTGCTTTGTGGCTCATGCTGAGTGTATCAGGTTAAAACAAACATCTTCCTAAAAGAAATGCATGACAGTGTTCCTCTGTAGTTTCAGTGAAGTCTGGAGTATCAAAAGATGCCCAGCTGGTCAGCGACATCACTGATGGGGAAGAGCTACAAGGCAATAAAGGCTTACTTTCTCAAAGGTGATTTGCAATTCAGAAATAGTGCTATATAGACTTCATGTTCCTGAGGCTACTCCAAGATGATCTCATTTTTTAGTTTTCAGTGTTTGATCATAACAAACCAGCATTTGGTAACACATTCAGGGAATAGCTTTCCCATTAGCTTTGGCTGTGGTACTCTGTGCTTTCTTTGCCTCAGTTTCTTCACCAACAAGGTCTCCTGGCCTCTATGTTTGGAAGCAGGGTTCAAGAAGAAGATGACTGCCTGGAAGTGAAAAAGAATTGAGTCCTTGACAATAGTCAAGGACTACTTGAGTCAACCCATACAGGTTCATGGGACCAGATGCGTCTCCCATAATATTCTTGTATCCAAGTTAGGATGTTAAATTCTGGATGGGTGGATAACTAGATGTACCTAAAAACTAGTTGCATAATTGGGCTCAGAGGGTAATGGTTAATGGGTCATACTCTACCTGGAGGTGGGCAACAAGTGGAATGGTGTAGTGGTATCTGCTGGGACCTTCCCCATTTAACAACTTTATCAACGACCTGGAAAAGTCAACAGGATGTACTGTCATCAAGCTTGCAGATGACCCTAAATTGGGAGGAGCAGTTGGTACGCTGAAAGACAGGGCCACTGGAACATAAGCTCAAGGAATGGGTTGACCAGCATATTAGGAAATACAAAAGGGACAGATGCAAAGTCCTGCAACTGGGAAGGACTTCCTTCCAGAAGGACTTCCTTCCTCAAGAAGGAAGAACCCATGTTCTTTCCTCCCAATGGCACAACAGTGTTGTACTGTTGACAACACCACATGTTGCAGCCTGACTGTCTGGGGAGGAACTCTGCTGAAAAGGACTTAGGAACTTAGTAGGCAGCCAGGTGCACATGAGGCAGCAGTGTGCACTGGCAGCAAAGGGAAGCTATCAGCATCCTGCATTAACAACAGCATTGACAGGAGCTGGCAGACTGAGACAAGCGATTATCCCCCTTTACTTGGCTCTCATTAGATTACATTGAGAGTATCCTGGCCAGTTTTGGTTCCCTCAATACAAGAAAAATATTAATCTGGAGTGAGCTCAACAGAGAGCTGTCAAAGGTCAGGGCTTGGAGCGTGTGCTCTATAAGGAGATGCTGAGGGAACTGGCCTTGTCTAGCCTGGAGAAGGGAAGGCTTGGGAAGACTAATGTAACAGGAGCTTTCCAGTCCCTCCAAGCAGGTTACTGAGAGCATGCAGCCAGGCTGTGCATGCTCTGTAGAGCAAGAGATAACTGATGTAAAGTGAAACAAGGGCATTTCTGACTTGATATAAGGAAAAACTTTTTTAGAGATTTTAAAAATTTATCTCTAAAACTTATAGAGATAATTGGCAGTGGACCAGCCTGCCTGAAGAGGTTGTACAGTCTCAGTCCTTGGAGGTTTTTAAGACCATGGTGGATAAAGTTCTGAGCAACCTGGTTTGATCTCACAGCTGACCCAGCTTTGAGAAAGAAGTTGGCCTAGACACCTGAGGTTCCTGCCAACCTGAATTATTCTAGAATGATTTTATAACAAAGATCAGCTAAAAACCCAGTCAAGTTTGTTCTCAAGGCTTTTCTTAGAGCACTATCAGCCTGTAATATACATACTCTTGCCTCCATATATCTGTGCTCATTTACTTGTCCACGGTGCTTGCAAGTATACTTGACTCCCTTGGAGCCGGCCAACAGGCATAGCCAGTTATCCTTTCCTTAAGCAGCAAAGTGAAGCAATACATTTGACATATTAAAGTCTAAGGCTTAAAATTTCTAGTCATTTGTGCTCAACATCTTGTTTTTCTGTTGCTGAAATCATGGTGTACTTTTCTAGCTGTTAGAGCAACAAGGCATAATTGAATGCATGTGTGTTATTTGTGTAACTACTTGTGTTGCCAGATTTACTGTGGTAGTCAAAAGGTAATACAGCTTACCTGAAGCAGAATGCAAATCTTTTGCTTTCATTAAGCAGGTCTAGTGGTAAGGAGACTCTTTAAAGTAAGAAAATGGATTTAGGTTTGTCTCTGTCTTTCATTATGGTTTAACGAATTCAGTGGACATACAGTGCCATAAAAATGATGCAACTGAAAGCAAAATCTTATTCTCAGCGATCTCATTTCTGTACTTCCCTGGGTCAAGTGGTTGGTGTTGAGGAAACTGTTTAACCTGCCTACTTTCTCTGTAAATAACAGTTATCTAGAAAATATCGAAATTATTTGATGAAAGTTTGTGTGAACATCATAAATACCACACTTTTGCTCTTGATGAATAGGCAAAACGACTGCATCCTCAACCCAGCAAGGAGCAAGATGGTGTTAGATTATGGTTAGTTCGAGAATGGCCATGTACATGTTAAGAAGGCAAAATCTAGTGGAAATAATCTGTGGCCATTGCATGAACAAATACTTAATGAGAGCTTACTTCCTGTGGTGGAACTGCAGTTTGGTCATATTTGTTTAAGGCAAACCCAGATCCTAGGAACAATGATTAAAAGGGCTCGTTATTTCTCTGTCCATTGTGTTTGGATTCATTTCAGATCATCATGTTAAATTCTGTCTCTGATCTACATGGCTATATTGACAAAAGTCAGCTGACCCGGGAGCTGGGAGGAACCTTGGAGTATGGCCACAGTCAGTGGATACATCACCGAACTGTGAGTATTAGTGGTGTGCTTACACGTGTCTTCACCCAGCATTGTCCAGATAATGAATGTAGAGCAACCATTAAGTAGTAACTCTTCACCCTACACGTTCTGCTAGGGATTCATGGAAAGAGGAAATCCATGACTCAAACAGAGAAAGGTAAATTCCCAAAAAGTTTGTTACAGAAGTAGTAATCTCTATCTCACTGTTGACCTAGACTGGGGCCCAACAGTGTTGGAGTATTCTTACTCAGCAAGGCCCTTTGACACGTTCTTAGCTTTTCAGTAATTGATGAGATTCATAGGCCTGCAGCTCATAGTTGAAGTTGAACACATGCTTTAGCACTTTACTGAATCAAAGGTTAAGATTCTCACTTTAATGATTAATTATGTCCATCATTTAAGAGAAGAAAAATACTCAAGACACTAGATTTTATTTTCCTTTGTTGTAATTTCTGTTCTATGTAAACATGCACTCCAGCTGGGTCTTATTTTGAGTAAATGAAGAATAGTTAATAATTGTAGGAAAAGCAGAAAGACTTTTTATTCTGTTACCTTTGAGGAAACCTGTTACAAGTTTGTTTGTTCCCTTTTGGGTGGTTAATGCATCTCAGCAGATGCTTCAAAATAATGTAAACAATTCATTACGGTGCTTAGAAATGGTGACCGTTTACAAAATCCAGACCCCAAACACTGGCACATCAGCAACCAAAATATTGTCTTACCCTATCTAAGAAAAAATGGGCAAAGCTGGGTCCTGCTCCTGGAAAATGAATTAATTTCCCAGAGACTGTATGCAATGATTGCATCTGTCTTTGTGGGTCTACTTGCAAGACTGGTATGTTAGAGCTCACACATAAGTAGCCCTAGTGTTTTGCCGTGTTCTGAGCAGCCTTGGGTTTGAGTCTCTTGTTGACCTGCAGGTTAGGTCTAACACTTGGAAAAAGAGCTTTTCTGAGGTAGCTTTGTTAAGTCTAATCACTTTTGTCACTTTCCTGCTATGAGATGCATTAACCACTGTCCATATAGAATTAAAATTTACTGTCCTTGAGAATCACTAAGTATTTCAGGCTTCTAAATATACACACACTAAATCTGATTTCCTCTAACACTGGTTCGCTGCATTTATAGCTGTGTTGATTAGAGGGAGGTTAGGACTGAGTTAGGTGAACAGGCTTACGTGTTGAAGTTATCAAAAGTGTCAAAAAGTATCCCTTGCAGGAATCATCTATCTGAGCTTTCAAACAGCTAAAGGCTTGAAAAAATGAGGAAAGGAAATAAAAAGAAGCACAAGAAAGTCTGTGTTGTTTATTAATGACAGGAGTTTATATAAAGTATGAATATATAGTTTGGTAAAATACGGAAAGAAAAGTGAGCCAAGACTTGTGACTATGTAATCCTCAGATCTCTTGGTTTGATTTGGTTGAAAAACTTTTACCAAGCACGGAGACTTAAAAAACCACAGATATCATTTAGGTATATGAAACAATTTATTGCTCATACACACAGGAGAGGGTCAGGGCAAGCACACTATTAAGTGAAACACTGATAAGCCTGTGCTGTGTGGTGCAGTCAGCCAAGGAATCTCTACTGGATAAGAGGTTTTCATCAGGGAAGTGTCAATGTCCATGGCACCTTGAAACAGCCTGACTTTCAGTCTTGCTGAGCTACTGTCTTAATCCCCTTTGCTCCTTCTCTTAGTGTCCTCAAATCTTGTCCTGACAATGCTTTTTTCTGGAACAGCTTTAAACTGTTGCTAAATGGTAGTGACACAGCAATCTCACTGCATTGTTCTTTGTTTCTGCTTTCTTATCTTGAATGGCTAGCAACCTAGGAGATTTCTTGCCCACAGAGTAGGTTTTTGGCTTTTAGTAAATGGCCTTTGGTTGTGGATGGCTCTATCTGTGTGGCAGTCAGAAGTGTGACATTTCAGCCAACTTTAATCCAGTAGTTTCAGTGTTGAGAACAGCAGGCTACAGCTGCTAAGGGCTAAGCCAGAACATATGTGGGTCTGTCCTGCTTGGGTTGAAAGCAGGCATGAATTTATGGGAAAAAAAGGGAAGAAGGCTATGAACCCTGCTAGCATTGCCTCATCCGGGGCGTGTTTCAGATAGCATATGTGGAATGTAATTTCTCTCGGCACCTTTCGAATGATGATCTACCTCCAGTTTGTTTTTCACTGAGCACTCAGCATAATTTTAACTGTTATGGTTGCAAATGAGGCATTCCCATCATTGCTGGAGAAGGGAACACAACTTGCAACAACTATGTAGTGTTTGACTGGGCGCAAGAGCATCCCTCGTGCTGTTGACTGACTCAGACCATTAGGTGGTTTAGATCAAAAACTGTAAACAATAAAGAGCTATACAGGACAATGCAGTCTCTAAAGAAATTGGAGCATGATCATGTAAAAACATCCCATGCAGTTGCTTGCTACTAGATACAAAGGTTTAATCATATCTCAAGTCTGAACAATATATCCTACTGTGAAAAGGGAGCATTCTTTTTAAGTCTTCCTCACTGCCCCTTTCTTTAGTAAAACCACAGATTTCTGCGTTTTGTATTGGGGCACCCAAGTGATAAAGAAGCAGCAATGCTCCAATGAATTTATGCATTTTAAATGTATTTGCAGTAAGTTGTTCTTGTATTTCTGTACTAATATGAACAGATGGGAGGGAGTGACTAGTATGCATCTAGTACAGATAGGCTGGATGGAGATGCACGTTTTCAGAAGTCAGGGAAGGCAGATTGCTGCTGAGTGAACAATGGCTGTATAAATAGAAATGTAAAAAGGCTTTACTTTATATAATTTTGGAGTCTCTTCAACTTAAATAAAACCTTATTTAAGATTCTAAACACAGCAGAATTTCCCAGCAAGCATGGGTAGAGGATCTGAAGTTCCAGTCCTGGCTTTGAAGCTGGTGTTCTCTGTGGTTTCATTATGTCTGTTAAGCTCTGTGAGTTCCCCAGCTGGTTCGTGGAGATTATAACACTTGTAGGCCTATGGCAAGATCATTTGTGACACAGGATTTAATTTGTAACTTTTAGCATATTCACCCAAAAAAGGGCAACATGGCCAGCTTTACAGGCATGTAATATTTGCAGCACAGTATGCCTGAAAGGCTAAGGGTAAATAACCAGTCTGTGACTTTATGCTCTTGCTTTTCCAGGCTATTGAAAACTTTGCAATGACAGTAAAAACAACAGCACAGATGCTACAGACCTTTGGAACAGACTTAGCAGAGACTGAACTTCCCAACGATGTGCAGTGCACAGAGGAGCTCCTCTTCGCGCACACTGACCACCACAGCAAGCTGAAGGTGAATATTGTCTCATGACAGCTCCATCTGCATAATACATGATTTTTGATTTAACAAACTTTTCTGCCATCATTTGGGAGTCCGTTGTCTGGAAACTACTGAAGAGGAGAGAAACCTGGGTTCAGGAGGTTGATTTGATTCAACTGTGAAAAAAGACCTTTTACAGCTTCAGGAATGATAGAACAGAGAAATGTCACTTCTGCTGTGTGAGAGGGTGTGATGGGGTCACATCTGGAATAGCATGGGCTCCTGATGAAGAGTTCATCAGAAGGGATGAACTCCCACTACAGCAGATGTAGAGGACGTCTGTGAGGATAATCCAGGAATACACAGAATGACCTAACTAGATGATAACTGTCATTTGTTTTTAGTGTTTTTTTAAAGTTAGGGCAAGTTTAGCTTTTCAGAGTAAGGCTCAGAAGAAAACATTACTGCTGTCAACAAACACCCTAGGTTAAACACAAGAGAAAAAGTGCTACTTAATCTATATTAGCACAAGAACAAGTTTTATGCAAGAAGTGTGCAGTTATGTGGGGACTCCTCAGCTGACATGTTAATGTTTGAGCCTCACTGTCCTTTTCATTGCTCATCTTTCATGCTGGGAAAACACCTTCTTCTGGGGATGACTCCTTGATAGCTGACATACTCTGTCACAATGTTATTTAAGGAAATTCTATTAAGAACTGCAATGTCTCAGCAGAGTCTCTAGCTCATGGGACAATCTGCATCACGTATTAAATTTGTGGTAGAATAATTTATTCTGCAAATTGCCTTGTCAGAAATGCAATCTGCTCAGAAGTTATACATTTTCCCTTTTCTCAGAAATATCTACTATTCAGACTGAATAGATGTAGTCTGCATTTCTAGAAAAAACACACCTTCTTTGGTAAGCATTTATATTTTGTTCCAAGTATTTAATACCTATGAAAGAATCCTCCTTTAGTATTACCATGTTGTCCATCTAAGAAATGTGAGCGTTCTTAGAATAAGTACATACAATTTGTTTGGCTTGTTTTGTTTTTTTTTTCCCTCAGGATGAGCTGAAACTAGCTGTGAAGCAGGGGGCCACCCTACTGACATGTATTAGGGAGCCAGTCACCCGAAGTGCCAACAGCAAACTCAGTCCAGATGAACTGGAAAATGTGGCGACAGTAGAAAGGTCAGTCAAGCTTGATTCCCTTGTGCAAGTTGCTTTTTTATTCCTAAGAAATGCAAGTGTAATTTTAATGATTTAAATATGCGGGTTAGAAATTTGCACTGGTTCAGGTCCTCAGGATTTTTTGGACAGGTATCTCACAGAAGGGAATAGCTTTGAGAAAGTTACTTGATTAAACTGTCAAGGCAAGTTCAAACAAGCCCTGAATTTCTTGGTAATTTTTTGTTGGATCACTAACTACCTGGCTAAAGATTTAATGTGGGACTTACTTCTGCCATAACGTATGCATCCTCAAAACTTTTATGCCTGGTTAGAAAGTAGCATCTGAATCCACGTGAGATGAGAGGGTATGTGCTTGTGCATGTCTGTGGAAACACCAGGGGAGGAACAGATGAAGATGATACTCTGAAACATATCCCTTCACAGCTACATAGAGAGAGAAACTCCTGTTCCTTCCTACAATGCTAGTTGCTACCATAAAGCTTTTAGTCACCGTGTAGAAGTTTCTGCTGTGCCATGTGATGCAGTGGAAAGAGAAATGTCATGCTACTCTTTCAGCGTGTCTGCATTCACTGGGAACAAAGCTGCTAAAAGTAAAGCTGAGCTGATATTTTTCACTGAATACCTTAAAATCCTTTAAACAGTCAACCCAAAGGATTTTGCTAATTAATCTTGAATTCAACAACTAGCTTTGATTAAAACCACGTTTTTCAGGGATAGAGTGAAAATAGAACTTTGTTTTTGAGAGGAATAGGAGGGAGCTATTGGTGTTCACCCTGATAACTTGATGATTCCAGCACTCATGTGGCTTGTAGGAGATCAGGCCTGTCCTCTGCCTCCCCAGAGAGTGCCTATCTGTTGAAATACAGGATATTTGGAGAAGACTTTCTTTTCAGGTTTTTTTGCTTGTTTGTTTGTTTTTGTGGGTTTTTTTTTCTGTTTAAACTGTTCTACTTTGTAATATAATTAATAGATTATTGAGACACTGTATGGATGACTCACTAATCTGGTGTCAGACATTTTACTGAAGGTGTGTGACACCTTGGCACTAATTTCTTTGTGAATAAATGTTTCCTTATTTACACAAAGTGAAACAATGTCCATGGGAAGCATTATGATCTTCTAATCTTGTTTTTAATCGACTGGGAAAAATGATTCAGTCCTTGCCTATTTCTGATGGGTGAAGAAAATGAACAAGTTGTAGAGTTCTGCTTTAAACATTCCTTAAAATTATAATTGCGTCATATTAAATCTTCATTAGCCAGGAGTAAATTATCTTTAAAGAATTGAGTGGAAGCTAGGGAGAGACAGCTGCTTTTAGCTGCCAGCGCATGGAACAGCTCTGTGTTCCTGTTGCAGGTCAGGAGGCAGGACTGCAACTGCCACAGCGGATGCAGTTTTCACTCATCAGTCACACTCCTGCCTGTCCCACTGCAAACTTCATTCGCTTTTGCTTAAGGGAAAGTTGACACAGAGCCCTCTTACATGGGTGCAGGCTCCCCACAACCTCCCTGCTCTGCTTTCTGCCATCAATTGGTGTAACTCAAAAGAAATTAACTATAGGAAATAAGTAAGTTCTTTCATTCTACTTTCTTAATAGGTTGTTGGCTCAGTTGGATGAAACAGAAAAGGCTTTTGATCAATTTTGGACCAAGCATCACCTAAAACTAGAACAATGCCTGCAGCTTCGACACTTTGAACATGATTTTAGAGAGGTATTTCATTTGTTCGTTCTGTCTTGTCTTCTCTGGTAAACAAGGTCAAATTTTCCCCATACTTAGAGCATATTGGCAATCCAAAAATGAGGTTGGGAGAGAAGCCCTTTATTACAAAATAGGAAATGCATATTCAAAAATTAAATTCTTGATATCTATCAGATATCTTACAACATTTGAGTGAGGCATAGTGAGGAAAGTGCCAGCCTGTTAGGCCAAAATGTGAAACACCAACCTCTTGATAAGTCATTTTGCATTTTGTATTTATGTATTGAATATCACTTCTGTGACGGTAAGTTGCCAATCCCACCAGAGTCAATGGAATACAATTCAGAAAGCCCAGTTGTCAGCCCAGACGCAGGAGAAATACAGATTCTGGAGTAATACAGACTCTGGAGTTATAGGTCTTCAAAACTGTGCACGCCTAAATAGTGAGAAGCTGGGCAACTCTTTGAGGAATAGTCGGTTGTTGCTTTATTCTTTGTCTTTGCCATTTTGGAATTTGCTGAAAGACTAAACTCAAGATTCAGACTCTTCTAAAAGATGGAGATGAATGTTTAGAAGCCATTAGGTTTCTTAGAATTTTATGAGTATCTTGGGGTGGGGTTTTGGTTGGGTTTTTTGTTGGGTTCTTCTTTGTGGTTTTTTAATGGTTTTGTTGTTGGTTTTTTAGGTAAAACTGGCATTGGATAATCTCATGGAAGCACAAGCAGGTTTTGCTGACATTGGAGACAGTGTGACTCGAGTGGAGCACCTCCTAAAGGAACAGAAACAACTGGAAGAGAAAGGACAGGTTTGTACTCAATATAATATTCTAGCTGCTATAGACATGATCTTCTAGACACTTTTCTGTCACTGTCCTTGCATCATGCTTACTCTCTTCTCATGAGTCATTATTCTCATGAGTCATTAAATTGCAAAACTCAAACACTATTTTCCAGAAGCCAGGATTGTTCAGACCCAGTAGTTCCAGTTTATTACTTGGAAAGCTAGAATCCAGTTCAAAAATCAGTATTTAAAACCAGGAAAGGTTAGGTCCATCTTTGGAATCTGAAAAGCCCAGAATACTTAACCGATTACCTTGGCCAGATAAGTTTTAAGACCATTCTATTCAGACTCACAGCAGTCTGAGGAACACCCATGCCTTCCAATAAACACCTTTCTTTTCCAGACATTTGGACTTTATAATTCTATCAGCTGGTCAGCTGTGATATCCACCACATTTATTATTATTAGAAAGCAGTGAACAAACAAGTAAGTTGAATCAGAGGAGGATGTACATGAAGAAATTGAAAAGCTGAGGATCATCTTTTTTAAGAATAGGATTAAGATTAAGAAATATTGTGATCTTTGCACAGCTCTTCTGCAGAAGCCTAAAGGAATAAAAGTCATAGTAACATGCATTTTCCTTACATTGTCCACATCACATAATGTGTTGATGTGTACTGTATTCCTATTAGCCACCTCTCATTTCGTCCTATTGTGACTAAGCTTATGAACTGTACTTAGTTGCCCAGGAGAGCAGGTTGTCCAGATGGCTTTTTAATATCTTCAAGGATGGAGACTCCACAACCTCTCTGGGCAGCCTGTTCCAGTGCTTGGTCACCCTCACAGTAAAAAAGTGTTTCCTGATGTTCTGATAGAACCTCTTATGTTTCAATATACTCACTGACAATTAAGTTGATCTTCAATGTAAATATAAAATAAGACATATCAGCTAGATTAATATCCCAAACCTTTACCTCCAGGCTACAGCAGGGATTACAGAGGTGAATTTTCTTTATTATGCATATCATTTTAAGATCTAACTTTGCATTTTTTCTCATTAATTTCACAGGAACCTTTGGAGAAGGCCCAGTCTCTAGCTCTCCATGGAGAACAGCTCATCCAAAACAACCATTATGCGGTTGACTCCATTAGACCAAAGTGTGTTGAACTCAGGCGTATTTGTGATGACTTTACCAATGAGACCAAGAAAAAGTATGATATTTTGGGAAAGTCTCTTGAGCTGCATAAGCAGTTAGATAAGGTGAGTGAACCTTCTCAAGTAACAGCTCTGTTTTTATAAGCTCAGATAACTGATGATGAGAAAAAATATTTATTCCTTTTTTCCTCCATTTAATTCAGAAACTGTTACTATAAAAACTGGAGCAGTAGCTTCCTATAATTATGGTCTTAAAATGACGAAAAGTAAGAAATAAAACGAAGAAAAAATTGAGCTAGGCCTAAATTTGAAATGAGAACCAGTATGTTTTCCAGTGTTTAAAAATGAACAGTTTACTGCTTGTTCAGTTGTTTTCACTTCCTCTGATCTATTTAGAATAGCAAGCTAAATGCTTTGAGAATGTCTGCATGCTATTCCAGCCTTGTCTGAAAAAGGAATTAACAAAATTTTATGGTAAAAGCCTACTTTGGAGTATTTTTAACTGAGTTTTCTAGGCCTAAGAAGTTTGGGGGAGTTTTGGTATGGTTCAAGTATTCATTTCAGTTTTTGGATAATTGTGTGACTGAACACCAAAATAAGGTAGTACAGCTGACAGATTCGATTTGCAGCAACCACAGTAACACTTCTCTTTGCTTTTATTTTACACATTACTGGACCATCTGGCCTGTAAGAGCTGAACTGATCTTGCCACTATTCTACTTATCTAGATGGGGTGACTTGTGGCCAGGAACTGTTGGGTGTTAAAAAGTGTAACGTTAATTCCCTTTAGTGACGTGTTAAGACAAATCTCTATTTCACTACATAGACCTGTCAGTGTTGATGGAGTCCTTCTCGCCCCATTTTTCTTTAAAGGCAAGCCAATGGTGTGAAGCTGGAATCTACCTCTTAGCTTCCCAAGCTGTGGACAAGTGCCAGTCACAAGAGGGAGCTGAAACTGCACTGGTTGAAATTGAGAAGTTCCTGGTAACAGCTAAGGAACACCAGCTCTCTAACCCGAAGGAGTTCTACAATCAGTTTGACATGATCCTCACCCCTGAAATAAAGGTAAAACCCCTCAGATGTGCATGCACTCACTTAGATTTTCAACATTACAAATTGCCTCTACATGAGAGCTTAGTGGGCTGTATATTTGAATCTGCTCAAATACGTGTCTTTCCCCACACCAAAAGGGCACAGAGGTGAGCACTTGGGGAAATAAGTTTTACTCAGGTGAGTAGTCACGGAACACACCTGTAATTTACCTTTTCTTTGCCTAGGCCAATGCCCAAAGAATTCTACAAAAACTAGAAGATGTACAAGAAATGTTTGACAAGAGGCAAGTAAGTCTGAAGAAGTTGGCAGCCAAACAGACCCGGCCAGTACAACCTGTTGCCCCACATCCTGAATCTTCCCCAAAGCGAGCATCACCAAAGATTACCAGACCAGCAGGAGTAGGTAGGCCATGAACAGCTGCTTTCAGATACACACCAATGTTTTGTCCACACAGTCATGTTTAATTTTTGGTATCAGAACTGAAACTTGAATTTGATGTTCAGTGTCAGCCTTGTAGGCCTAGCTGTGAAAAATGAATGTGAAATATCTGTCACTACAAACATACAAACAAGGGTGAATAAAAAAAAATAAATCAGGCTTTTCTTCCTAGGTCTAATCTACAAAGTGCATTTCTATACTGTTTCTCAGTATGTCTTATATTGCTAATTCTTGAAAACCCAAACCCTAGGCTAGTCACTGCCAGTCCCATAAGGTAAGCATGAGACCCTTTTTTACATTGCATATACTGTAATGTGAATATTTGGCTTTAGAGGGTCACAGTCCCTCAAGTTTTAGTCAGATACTGCAAATGTTAAGGATTCATTATTGACACTGACTCATTTGTGCAATTCTTTGTTTCTCCCATCTACACAACTTTTCTAGTGTTGTCCTCTACTGATTGTAAAAGTTGAACATGGCTTCTGTTTGGAATGTACTACAAGTTCATGATTTGAGGTTAGCATGTGCCTTTAATCAAGATAGCTATTTTCTGCAAAAAGAACATGAGTGAAGCTAATTTGAAACAGTGCATCCTGGAGACCAGCTACTCTGTACTTGGTGGCCAGGAGGGGTTGTCCCTTTTCAGCAGAGATAGCTATAAGGAATTAAAAAATGGAACCTTAGGGCTTTTTAAAAGAGGAAACTTTAGCAAAAAGCCTTGAAAAAAACTAATTTGTGTGAAGAGCATGCAATAAATTTTGCTTTCTCAACAGGAAGAATAGGATGGCCAGTGGCCTGACCATTTTGCTTTCTAGGCATACTATCTATCACAAGGTCACACAAACGTCCCCGTTGTTCTTGTCTGCTCCCCAGCACTCATCCTTTCTCACCAGAGAAGATCTTACTCTTGTTCCAATCACCATGCTGGTTTGACATCTGTACTTTCTTTCCCCAAACCATGCCAGCTGTGTTCTTAACGTACAGTTGCTACCTCAAGTTTCAGCTTCACTATTGGCTTAAAGGCAAACAGAGGACAGTGCCTTTGAAGAGGTTCTGCTACCCCCACATCCTCCAGCAATGTGTTCCCCTCTTGCACTGTTGTTGGCAGTCAATTAGCTGAAGTTAGTGATTAGTTGTGATTTACCTTGAAAACTCAATGAACTGACTGCAAAAATGTGGTAGTTAGTTTTCCATTGTGTGAGTCAGAAAAACTAAGGGAGCTCTGGAGATGATGTAGCCCAATCACTTTCTGAAAGCAGCACTAACTAAAATTAATCAGATTATTCACTGATTGGCCACTAGTGCTGAAGCAAAGGACTTTGCAGAAAAAGGGGTTGTGGGGTCAGTAGGTCAGAGCTAGTTAGTCCCTGTTAGTGGAAATACAGTTTTAGAATGGCTTTTGCCTATTGCGAAACTGCATCTTCAGGCTAAAAGCTAGCCTTGCATTTCTGTTTCTGTTTATGCATGCAGTCTATGTGTTTGTGTTCCTTCAACTTCTTTCTTGTCATTTTAGAGCACTTGCAGATTTTTTAAATTAAACTTTTTGTATAGATAGAACCTTGAAAAATAGTATATAAATGACAATGCTTTAAATTTTGACTCTTGTTCATACAGCCATTCCAATACTATCGGCTCTTCCACAGAAAATCATGAGATGCTCCCTTGCTCTGAGCCTTGCATTGCAGTTCAGTGTTATACAACACCACACAGGATAACTGTGTGACAAGGATTAGCCTCTTATGTCCTGTTGCAGATTAATAGCTCGATGAATTTATTTTAAAACGTTACTCCAGTTGTTCTCTGAGGAGATGCAAAGTGCAACCAGGTCCTGTTCAGACCTTGATAAGTAGACTATAGCAAATCATTCAGGTTCTTTGTGCCTGAAGATGATTGACCTAGAGTACCTCTGTACAAAGAAGCAGAAATCCCTGACTGTCTACAGCTTATCCTGGGGCTCAAAAACAGTTACTTTAACTGCCGTGAACAGTACATGTATCTTTACATATATACTGTGTAGTGGCATCCTTTGGGTATTATCCAATTGTCTGCTACAAAGAGTTATACTTTGAATTTCCTGAATTCTCTTTAAAACCACTTGGCTTACTTACCACTGGTAAGTATTTTAACCTCTCTTTTTTTTTTCAGAAAGAAAGCTGAAGCACAGAAAAACTGAGTGATTCACCAAGGGGTTTCACAGTTTGAGTCTGAAATATGGCTGAGAATAGCAACAGGGACACTGAATCCTATTCCCAGCCTTGAAAATGAGGCTGTGAAATTCTGTTCTTCTTAAAGCTACCCTCTTTTGGACTTTCCTCTGTGCCCTTTCTGCACATTCACAGGGTCAATGCAGAATCAGCATTTATTTATGGGGAGAATTTATTGAGCACCATATTGGAAAACTGGAAGAGGCTAAGAGCACCTTCTTGAAACAGATATTGTAATTCATTGTTATTTGTTACCCAGGACATACCTGAATATTTCTCAAAGCTTGCAAAATAGAATATGGCAACAGGAAAATACCATATTCCTAGGCTGTGTAAATGCAAAGGCAATAAAATGTGGTAAACAGAAATAGAAGACCAGAAAGAAAGGCTTTTGTCCCCAGGCAGCAGATGTAACAATACCATGGCAGCATTGCAGTAGCTGTCTGTGAAAGGAAAAAAAGTTGCATTTGTTCCAGAATAGATTTTGTTTTGTTTTGTTTTTACTTGCTGACTCTCCATTTCCCTAACAAGGAGTGGTAGGGGAAATTCAATTTAATTCAGGGTGCTAATGGAAAAATCTTAATGGATGTGAAGGCTCAGGCGTGAAATACTCCATTATTGTAACTGTGAGACTCTTAATTTTATGTGGACATATACATAGGTGCATACAGGCAGAGCTGACACCATGTATGAGAGAAAGGGCAGATTTCTATCAGGGAAAAGGCTGTGACAGTTTCCTACATCTATGTCCTTATGATCTCTGGTGACTCTTGGCAAAGTCTTAGCCCAGTGAAGATCCAGAAGGGCAGCTCAGAGCTGCACTGCAAACTCTCCCTCACCAAATGCTATTCTATGGGTCTGGAAATTCTGAAGTAAAATTTTAAATTAATCCAGTTTTTTCTTGAAGCTTTTGTTTTCACAAATTAACTTGTAAATTTTGCAGGGAAAAACCTGTTCAACAGTGAAAAACTAGTACTGGAATTATCATGATGCTCAAAAGTCTATGCCAGCTGCACCTGGTACACATTTCAGCTGTGAGAATCTGCTTAAATATTATTCACAGATAAACCCAGAAAAGGCAGAAAAACTTCTGCTGACCCTTTTATAATAAATGCCTTGAAAATATTTCAGTAGTATATATGACACCTTATTTCAAGGAGAACTCTGTTTACTCCCAGTGGAAGCTGCTTGAATACTGCTAATGGCTAAACTTGTCCCTGTATGTCTTGGGAGAATCATAGAATGGTTTGGGTTGGAAGGGATCTTAAAGATCATCTAGTTCCAACCCCCCTGCCATCAGCAGGGAGAAAAAAAGTGGCACTTGATGGGGAAGTGTCTTTGCTCTAATTCTGAGGGCATCATTTTTGATGATCTGACTACATATTTGCAGACTGTATTTCTGTACAAAACTCCTTAGCTGGAGTGAATTGGGATAAGTCCACAAAGTCAAACCATGCAGGCTGGTATTGCCCATAGGCTGACAGGCACAGTAGGATAAGCCACAGAGCTGTAAAGCTATTAGGGATGACTGTAGTCAGCATTTTTCTATTTTCATTTGCTTGTAATTCTCCCAAACTCTTAACTCCTTGAAATGAAACTTTCCCAAAGGCTATATTCTTCAGCCTGACACTTTCTTGGAAGACTTCAGTAAAAAATGTTTTGGCCATCTCAGTGAACAAGGCCAGGAAAATGGTCTCGTTTCAGTTACCTTAGTGGTGAGAGCTGGGTGTCCAGATTTGGCAGAATTATAAGCACTTGGGGGGAAAAAAAAATATCAGCTCATACATGTTCATTATGTATGAACTTGCTACAGCTTGGCTCCTATAGTCTCATTTCCTTTGTTGTCAGCAAAAATCTTTGGAACTCAGAGACAAAGTACGTTTCTTATCCCCTGCACTGTTTGTTTCCTTACAGTATGATCTTGCAGCAGTTTAAGCCCCTCTTAATGCTGGGCTGTCACAGTTTCCCTTTCTCCTCTCCTCTTTGCCCAGCACAGCCATGTGTTTGTGACTGATTTCTCTCAGTATTTATGGTCACATAACTAGTGGGAGCAAAGGAGGGAACTGAAAACTGACCCTGGGGCGAGGGCTGTTTTGTTTTTGCTAGTTCAGCTCCTCAACACCCAGTTCCATGAACAGCAGCGCTGACAAGAAAGGAGACAGAAGTGTGTGGCCAGAGGTTGGGAGGAAAGGGAGAGCTGTGCCAGACCCAGTTCAGGTGGGTTTCAACTGTTCTGGAGTCATCCCCGAAACTTGACTACTTTCTGCTGCTTCTCACTCCAGCTGACATGGGAAAGAGAAGCTGGTGCATTTGGTGAGAAGGTTTCAACCCTGTTAAAAACCCATGTGGGTGTTAACGCGATTCAAGTTAGTGCAATGTGGGGAGGAGGGAAGGTGTTTTTAATAACTTGTACAACTACATAAATAAATTTACATTGAAAGAGCAGTGCAAGACTGAAATCAGAATTGCTGGGCAGAGCACGTGCTCATGAACAAGTGAAGTGGCATAATACTCAGTAAACAGAAAATTCCATTTTAAAAATGTTACGTTGGTCTGTGGAACTCTGAGTTCTCAGTGTGGTTGGTAACAGCCTGTTACCTCTGAGAAGTGTCATGAAAACAGCTCAGTAAATACTTGTGAAGCACCTGAATTGTAAAAATGGCTATTAGAAAAAAGACAATTATTTTCAGAGCAGAGATTGAAATAGCATATGGATAGTAAGGCTCTGGGACCCCACTGAGAAATACAGATAAATCAAAA